TCCCCTTCCCCTTCCCCTTCCCCTTCTCCTTCTCCTTCTCCTCCTTCCCCTTCACCTTCCCCTTCCCCTTCACCTTCCCCTTCCCCTTCCCCTTCTCCTTCCCCTTTTCCTTCGCCTTCCCCTTCACCTTCACCTCCTTCACTTTCCCCTTCTCCTTCCCCTTCCCCTTCTCCTTCTCCTTCTCCTTCCTATAATGTGGAGGTTATAAAATATTGTAATGGTAACAGATAAAAGAATAAATCATTCAGAAAATCTAAAACAATTTAAATACCTTGGTTTCGTTATTAGCAGATCAATTACAGCTGTTTAAGGACAATTCTCTTCCAATAATCAAAGGCATTAAATAAAATATTTAGAGGTTGTCTGATCCAAACCAGCAGGATAAACTTAAGCAACAGGAATCCTGTGTGTGTGTGTGTGTGTGTAATAAGTATGGGTATTCAAAGTTAAATCATGAAATTTGTGTGATGATGTAATATGCTGAAGTATTATCGACTGTATCAGACTCTTACACACTCAAATGAAATCAGATTAAATCAAAATAAAAACACGGCTTCAGGGATGTGTTTGGTATCAGTGGTGCGGTGTGTGTCGGCTCTCCTCTTCTTCTTGACCTCCAGGCCTCTTGGCTTTGTTAACAGTTAATAAGTGATCTCATAAATCAACTGAAGGATTATTTTTGCTCAAGCTCAACAAACTATTGAAGACATTACTTGAGCAGACGATGCATCTGTCACCACACTTCAGTGCCTCTCTGGGCCAAAATGATGCAATCATTAAACAGCTCACTAAAGTGTGTTGTTAACATGTGGAGAAACGTGACGTAGGCCTCTGCCTTTGGTCTTTGTCCTGTTTGTGTGGCTGTGGTTTATCTCTCGTCATATTTAACACATTTTATGACATTATGAAAATACTTTATCTACTTCATACTCAAGTGTTTATACAGTATGTGTAAGCATGTGTGTTGACAGAAATACATGTGTGGAGGAAAATGTATTGTGAGGATGTTGAATCATGAACAGTGAGTGAACAGGATTGGGTGTAATCGTTGTGCTTTGATATAAAAAGAATAAAGACAGAAAATGTCTAGTGTGTAAGAGAGAGATCAGATCAGCAGATGAGCGGGAGGGAACTCTACCTCAGCGACTGCTTGACTTTCTCACAAAGCGATGTTTTTGACTCAGACTTTTCTGCCATCTCATCCACCGCTCCTTCATCCAGGATCTTCCTGTTGACACTGTAGCCGGCCCGTCTCCTCTCTGCCATGGCGAGCGCTAGCTGCATCGTAAACAGGAGAAAAAAGGTTTGTTTGTTTTTGCAGAAAAGTGGTTCCTGTAAAAATATAGCTGTTACATTTTAAACACTGGTTGTGTTTGTTAGGAAAGACTTAAAATATGTAAAACAAAACTAAACAAATGAATTCTTAATGTTTCATGTTCATTTTAGATCCTTTGTGGTTCATCTCCTAAAGTCTGAAACTCTTGAAACTTTTGCTAATAAATTATAATTACCTTTTGTGTTCCAGCTGTAAAAAAAAAAGGTTTTTATTCCAAACTCCAAATGTTTGTGGTGTTTACAAAAATCCAGGAAGCTACTGAAGCCCGGACATTAACCACGCAGGTTTGTGTAATGTGTAATGAAATGTCTTGTCCTCTGTCCCGATGTCTTTTATCTGTTGTTCTGGTTCAGAGGAAGCAGATCCAACTCTGAGTGTCTCTCTGGCCCCGGTTGAGTTGAAAATCTTCCACCTAAACTTCAAAAAAAGTTCACCTAGTGATAAGATGGCACGTCTCCCTTCATTAAGTATTAATCCTGCACATGAGCAGTGGTCCCTGGGCTTCAAGCTGAACCTGCTGTAGAGTTTTGCATCAGATCCAAGAGGCTCCGAATGGTACAGAACCAAGCGCTGTTATTTCTTCTGCAGCAGTTCAGCCGACTGATGAAGGTAAGGTTTAATTTTCAGATCCGACACAGAGGATTCTCCGCTCCAGCACTGGATCTTAAGACCTTGAAGAGAAATCTAGATAAGACAAGTGGACACTGTTGTGGAGGGAGGGGGCAAAGTACCAGACTGTTTGGTGCGCACAGCTGGAAACAGAAGTGATAGCAGTTAGAGATGACATGTGTTTTGTGCTTGTTTTATCATTTACAGAGTGAGTTAGTTTTACTGTCAATCACACTCAGTCAAGACATTTGTGTAGAATGAAACCAACATGTTGGTTTGACTTACAGGTATATACAGTACGGCATGCTACATGAACACAAAGGAAAAGGTTAATGCTCGTATGTACTCTCATTTGTTTGGCCTGCAGTGCACACAGTGATATATTCATTAGCAGTTAGAGTCTTAGCACCGTCTTATCTGTGTGCTTTATGTCTTGTATGATTAGATTAGTCAGCTGTCTCAGCCTGGTCACAGTTGTTCTTGTTAATTTATGATTACACCACAGGAGAGTGAATGGGAGGCCTGCTTAATCACTGGCAGAACAGATACTGGTTAACTAAGCATGACAAACAATAGGTTTTCTTAAGGGCACAGTGCTTTTTCATTCCTTATCCACCTTTGTCTTGTTTCCTTCTTACAATCGCAGCTGTCATTTTCACTGATCTCCACTTTGTTCTGATGTGGAGACTCCATCAGTCACAGTGAATCCACACTCATCTGAAATGCTGTCAGCTGTTTGTAATCTGACAGTTCTGCTGCTTGTTGGAATAATGTTTGATGAACAGCATTTGTGACTGAGGCTGCAACTTTAAATAAAAAATCTCTCCAAAATCCTTGATTTGTCCAACCAACAGTCCAAAGCTTAAAAGTCAATTTACAATGATACAATGCAGAGGAAGCAATAAATCTTTAAACATGATAAGCTGATTGGCACTCCCTCAATATATTACTTAATACTAATTAATCAGAGCAGATTAATCTGAGAGGATCTGATCGAAACCTGCCAGAAGCCCAACTGCTGGATCATTCCTGCAGGATCCCAACATGGACAGAATTACTGAGTTTACAATGAAGTGACAATAAGTCACAAGAGAGGGAATTTTTTTGTTGATAAGTTGCCAACTTACAAACTTAAACACTCTCTCGGGTGTTTTGAGTAACAGATGAAATCCTATCTTCATAACTGCTCAGTCGATCGTCAGCTCCCCACTTCCAAACCTGACTGACATCCACTCAAGCTGCCTTCACTAATGAACCATGGAAATCATGACAGATGGCACACATGCTAGACACTCCCAGTTCACAACCCTCCCCCCAAGCAGGATCAGAAATATCCACACAGACAAAATGGCTGAGAAACAGCTTTTTTACTCAAACTGTGGACAAGCTGCTGCATCCATGAGATCCATGACTGGTCAACCAGCAGCAACAAGCCCCAGTGGCCTAATGGATAAGGCACTGGCCTCCTAAGCCAGGGATTGTGGGTTCGAGTCCCATCTGGGGTGATTTACAGCAGAGTGGCGCAGCGGAAGCGTGCTGGGCCCATAACCCAGAGGTCGATGGATCGAAACCATCCTCTGCTAACAGTTTTACAGCATGGTTACCTGAAGTACAACCTGTTTGTGCAAACCATCTCAGACTGTACTCAAAGCTACTCTGGGTCTACCCCAAGGCCTCCTACCAGTTGGACGTCTGGAAGACCACCAATGGAAGGAGCGCCAACAACCTCAGTGGTCTCCTTTTGACAGAGAGGAGCAGCAGCTCTACTCCGAGCTCCCTGTGGATGTCAGAGCTCCTAACACTCTCTAAGGCTGAGCCCAGCCACCCTTCAGAGGAAACTCATCTCAGCCTCTTGTATCCACGATCAGAGAGGAGAGGAGGGAAAAGAAGAAAAGTAGTTAATGTTTGTTGAGGTTCTTCTGAATCAAACTTTTGCAACTCCCATCCTGTTGCTTTGTGGTGGAACTCTATATGTTAACACAAATGGTCAGAGGGCAGAATGTGAAGCCACAATGGAGCTGCTGGCTTTCTAAGCCAGGGATTGTCATTGTAGTGACTGACAGCAGAGCGGGGCAGTGGGGGCGTGCTATGGGAGCTGTGTGTCCCTGAATGCATCTTTAACACTTCCCGATTAACTCTGATGCTTTATTGTCTAACGAGTGTGTAGCTTCATTTTCTGACTTTACATCAACTTTCTGATACAACCACCAACATGTTTTCTCTGTCTTGCTTTTGTCCGCACATTTTTAAAACACTTGTTTTAAAGTTATGTTTACGTTTCCAGTATTTTCTCACTTCATGTAATCAGTCGCGGGGCTGCAGGTCATGTGAGTTTTCAGTGAGGAGAGTTTTTGAAATGCTTTAAGATCTCTGAATGTGGCCTCTGTTTGCTCTGAAGCTCCCAAACAGTACAGACCAGTTTGATTGAATTTAAACCCTATAGGAGTTAAGCAGTGGATTTCTATGAATTGTGAACTATAACACTGTGTTCATCTCCTTAGTAATGACACACACGGCTGGTAACGAGATAACTGGTTGTTGTTTATGAGGCCAATAAAAGGGAGGGATCAATTATGACTAATATTAATTTAATCAGTCGTCCAGTCACTCTTATCAACAATGACGCAGCTCTTATATTGGATCTCTATGACAAACAATAACTGAAACATTTTTGGCAGTGTATTTTTAAAATCTGTATCCTGTATTAAATTGTTCTCATTATTTTTTATTTTTGACACTGATGTTTTTGGTGTAAATGGCAGCACAGTTTTATTAACCAACACCGAGCATTCAGCGAGGGAACTGGAGGAAGGAAGAAACCTTAAAGCCAGTGAAACATTAAAAACAGAATCCTGACAAAATAAAAGCTCCACTTCCTGTTTCAGTCCTTCCAACAGAGACAGATTGTGAGAGGTGAGTTTTGTCTATTTTTGTCTATTACTTTAAGAAACAACTCATAACAAACCACACTGGATAATTCACTTTTATATTATATGGCAAATATATAAATCATATATATATTGTATAGAAACTACAATGTGCAGTAAACTATAATGTCCATCCCAACATAACACAAATGGATTATTGTTTAATTTGTTTAATCTCATGGTTTATTCTATAATCAAAGTTGATTCCCACATTAATCATTAACATTGTTTTTCCCTCTTGTTTCCTGTTATAGTTGACATCATTGTACAGTTTCACATTAAGCAGACAGCAGACACCATGTCCATTCACTTGTTAAGGTTTTGATAGTCCTCATACTGTTTCTGGATAGGAAACCTATACTATTGTTATATGTTGATTGTTACAAATCAAGTTAGAAATAATTATATTTGTGCTATAAAAACAGTGCAAAAGACTAAATTCTCTTGCTGCAGCTGAATAATAATGAGAAACCGTTGAGGGTGGGGCAGCCACATATTTCTCTGTCTCTGCAATACTGCCTGTCTCCATCACCGGCTGTAACCTGTACAAACCCCTGCCATTGTTCTTTAATCCAGAACATGCAGCACAGAACAAGGAAGGACGGAGACGATGACGTCACAAAGAAAACAAAGATATCTCCCATTAACAGGACGAAGCTGCATGAGTCAGTTAGGATTTATTTTTCTTTTACCATGTCATTGTGCAACTGCTGGTCCAGTGTCACTGTGGAGACAGAGCAGCAGTGTTTCACATTCACATCTGATCCCTGCTGCTCATGTCTTCATGTCTCCATCAGTTTTAATATGGAAGCCCCAGTGGATAATGGATAAGGAACTGGTCTCTTTGTAGGTTCAAGTCAACCTCAGGGGTTTCTGTCTGTCCTCTTGTTGACGTCACTGTGATTCACACCGGAGCTTCAACATTCACTTGGGTCGGAGTTGATTTCCTGAGAAGAGATAATGACAATTTATAAGAACATTAAAATATATTGAAAGTTATTTTAAACTTAATACTCCACTGATTTAACATTTCACTCGAATAAGAACTGAGATATCGTCTGTTTTATTCTACAGATTCTTCTTCTCTGTCAGAACCTGCCGCCTACATTACCCACAATGCAACTTGACCTCTGCCAGTTCAGTTGGAGATTCAAGTAATGAGGACCAGGATACAGAGGTGTGGTAAATTCGCTTTTCTCATCTCCATCTGTGTGTCTCCATTTCTTCAATTTAAAAACTGTATTTAAAAAACATTTAAAAACTTGTAGCTACGATGAAAACGGACTCAGCTGACATCACAGGTAGTATTCCTGTCAGACCTGTGAACTGACTGATGTGTAAAACTGCTGAGGTTCCACTTTAATGTGCCGCTGTGGAAAACTCTTGTTCAGAAAACAGACAAAAGACTAATTTATGACAAATAAGAAAAAGTCAAAATGACAATAATGATAAAAGTGATTTAAACTCTCAGTGTGTTTACAGAGGAACTGAATGTGAGACGGTGCAGACCTCCAGAGGCCGGGGCGAGGTGCTGAGGTGGCGCTGGACGGCGTGGTGGACCGATGGGAAGAGACGGGAGCGTGGAAGGATGTCTGGAACACAATCCTGAGTCTGGAGCTGAGATAAAACTCTCTCTGTCCACACACACAAAAACTCACAGGATCACACACTTCATGTTTTAAAGTCACACGTGTTGATCTGATGCACAGGGAAATATTTTGCAATGCACAAACTATTAGAACAGAATGATGGAAACATCTGCAAGTGAGTGTGTGAGTGAGAGAGTGTGAATGAGTGTGTGTGTGTGTGTGTGTGTGTGTGTATAAAACTCTCTCTGTCCACACACACAAAAACTCACAGGATCACACACTTCATGTTTTAAAGTCACACGTGTTGATCTGATGCACAGGGAAATATTTTGCAATGCACAAACTATTAGAACAGAATGATGGAAACATCTGCAAGTGAGTGTGTGAGTGAGAGAGTGTGAATGAGTGTGTGTGTGTGTGTGTGTGTGTGTGAGAGAGAGAGGAGGAGAGTCACATGTATAAGAGATAAGTATGAAACATGAAGCTGACCTGTGCACGCTGCCAGAAACACACCAACGCCTTGGACCTCAAAGTCATCTACAACCTGATTAATGAGAGAGAGAGAGACAGACACACACACACACACACACACACACACACTCA